GGTGTAAACCAGAACACAGAGAAAACCATAATAAAGAAGCATGTATGCTCCAACAATCCAACAAGCAGAGGCACAAGAATAAACACCCACGGGATTGCAGGTAGATCAGATACCAGTAAAGGGGAAAGGAAAAACAAATGAGACAAGAATAATAGAGAACTAATACAGGGCAGATACACGGATAGGTTTAACCAGTACTAGTGAAGAATTAATAAATGGTCAGAATAGATGAATTGAGCATGTAATACGGCATACTGTTCAAATGAGAGAGGGTAACAAAGACTAGAAGGACAGTGCAGAGCCTGGCAAAATGAAGGTTTAAAAAACAGACCTGAGGAAAACACAAAGCCTGTTTCATTAAAGAGATTCAACAGTGGACTGATACAAAGTAATGTAGCCACCCTGCCTTAAGCAGGAGTGCCTGTCTAAGGTCTGATTCACACCTAGGCGACAGCGTTTTCGTGTGCGTAAAACGTGCGTGCATTAAGTTAAAGGCTGCAAGGAATTCAAATTGAGGACCCCAGAGCTGCAAGGCAGAAGTGCTAACCACTAAGCCACTGTACTGTACAACTACCTTTTTTTTGTGATACACGACGCGTGGCTGTTTTCGTGTTCTGAGGCAAGGGCAGAATTGCGGTGGAAAACTGCAACATCCGCCTGGCGCGAATGGGGTGCCATTAGAAAATAATGGCACCCACAGCGCGATCGGTTCACACCATGGTGACTCCTGACCGTGCTGCAATTCACGCGGAATCGTTCACGATTGTTGGCGGTGTGGTGTCCCCTAGGTGCGAACCTAGCCACAGAAGAATATTACATCTGAATACAGCATTGTAAGGAAAACATATATAGGAAAACATCCTGTGTATCATAGAGAAGCATGCACATAGAGACTAACATTACACTAAAGTGCCATCTACAGCTCAAAAGACACATTACATCTCAGAACATTATTATATCAGTACAGTATATGCTGTTGCATTTCCAACACTTTCTGCAGTGGCGTCACAAGGGGGGTGCTGCCTGCACCAGGTGACACCATCAGAAGGAGTCATGGACCGAGAGCCCAACAGCTGCACAAGAGAGCTTATTTTGCATACCTTATCCTGCCAGATGAACGTCCCCTCCTCTCTTTGCCAGCGTTCACGCATGCGTAATGATGTCACACACGTGCATGATGACGTCCAAGCAGGTAACACCCGGCGGTCACACCAGGTGACACCCACCCTGGGGACGCCTCTGGCCAGCTGCCTTTTCAACAGAAAATGTAAGCTGTGAGTGGCCTTGTTATCACCAGAAAAGTTTGAAAGACTAAAACTAGCTAAGCCAGGTGTAAAAAACTCGGCCAAACAGTGCCTCCGTCCTATCAGATGCAGTCACTGTTCAAGTATTCAGAGAGCTGCGGGCACCATGTTTGTCTGAATGTAATAGCCGACAGCGGAGATTCCTCCACCCATATTGTTTAACAGGGATGGGGAAACCGATTGATTTCTCTTGTTCAGCCCTGTGGAAATCCAACCATGCATGGATAGCCTTAGTCTTTGCAGAGGAACTTCACCCAGCAAGTACTGTAGCTGCTATCCTTTAGGGCCAGTTCACACAACAGTATTGTGCTAAAGTCACTGAAGGAGGATGATGGTGGGTGGATTTTTCGGGCGAAGGCCAAATGTCGCCCCTGGAAAAGCACATTGTCCCTGTGCTGATGGGGATAAGGGCGTCTTTCCCATGAGCCCTGGGGCATTGGTTGTGGAGGTGTGGGCAGGGGGCTTATTCACATAAGGGTACCACTTTAATCAAGGGGCACCCAGATGCCGCGCCCCCCTTGTGAATGAGTAAGGGGTACTTGTACTACTACCCATTCACTAAAGGGTTAAATAAAAGATTAAATAACAACACCAGACTTTCATCAAATATCCTTTATTCGGAAAAAAGCAAAAGACAAGTTTTTGACAAGTCTTTCATTTAAACCCCCCCCAAATGGATCCATTGATGTAAACCTACGTCAATCACTGTGCAGCTGAAGCGTTCAGTGAACCTGCTGCAATGAACTGAAGTTCTGCAGAACAGCTACTTAGCGCTTGGCTAAGGAACTGAACACGCCTCGGCAGTTTGTGGATGCTCAGTTCTCGATCTATAGAGCCGGTGTTCTATCGAGAGCTCCAACTCGTCAAAATCTCCAACTACCTCACTGCCGGGTACTTGCAAGTTGGAGATTTCAACCAGGCGGCGTTAGACTGCAAAACACAAAGACTGAGGAAGCTCTGTACAGCTGCATTTTAACAATATTTAGCAGGTGGCAAACTTGAGTATTCTGAAAACGGTATGTGCGCACAGATGTCATCGCGCACACGCGTCAGTCTTCTGAGAGAGGAGGGGACAGTCACCCGGCGGGATAAGGTATGCTGCCTGGTCCCCTCCTCTCTCCTGATACTGTCGGGCGTTCGGTCCATGATCGAGCGCTCGACTTTTCAAAGGGGGGTGACACCAAATTGACTGTCAGTCATTTTGGTGTCACCCCTCCAATGGTGCCACCCGTGTGCGGGCCGCACCCCC